TGAGCCGCTCTCAGGAATTTTCCCTTTTGTTTAATTTTGGAGAATTTGATTATATGTCTTGGTGATTTTCTTTTAGGGTCTAGCCTGTTTGGGATTCATTCATGAGCTTACCTCTTCATTTTTCATGATGTTAGGGAAGACTTCTTCCAGCTTTTGACTATCTTTTCTTTGACTATCTCTAACTGTGCTTTTCTGTATCTCTTCCTGTTCTGGAACACCTATCATCTGTGTTATTTCTCTTCATAGTGTTCCACATAAATCTGAAGAGTTTCTTTGAATTTTTTTTTTTAATCTTTTTTCTGATTGCTCTTCTAGCTTACTAGTATTAAGAGATTTATCTTCAAGGAGACTAATTTAGGCTTTCATTGCTTCAAATCTACAACTCTGCCCTTTCAATGTATTGTCCATTTCTTAAACCTTAGTATTAATCATCTAGATTTCTAATTACAGGGTTTGTATTGTCCCCAATCCTTTACTTTGTTTGTTTCTATAGTGTTTTCCTGAATTTTTTCTTATTTCCTTGACTTTTCTGTCAATCATTTGAAGGTACCTAAATATCATTCTCTTGAATTATTTTTCAGGTAGTTCCAATGCACGTTTTCCTCAAAAACATGTTCTAGAGCTCTGCATCTTGGTCACTCTGTGTTGTCACTTTGTGTGTTGCTTCTGAGACATTGTGGTGTTGCTGTATTTAATTGATGATTGTATATTGCTCTGTTGTTAGGTACTCATGAACTGCCTCCTTGTGGGTGTGGTTAGGGGATGGAAGCCAGCTCAGTTTAGGATGGGTTTGACTGATGCAGGTTGTTGTCAATGATCAGTTGAATAGCAGCTGGTATTGGCTCTTGCCTGGTAGGTGGGGATCTAGAAGGTATGACTTGTGGCAGGGTTATATGGGCATGGTTTCTGTTCCTTGTTGGGTGAGGCAAGAAGAGAAAACACATACACAAAAGTAAACATAACAAACAAGCAAAAAAAAAAAAAAAATCAAAAAAGAAAGTAGTAAAGAAAGAAAGAGAAAAAAGGCAGGCAACAGCTAGAAAAAGAATACAAAACCCAAAAGAGAGAGGAAGACCAAAAAAATTTAAGCCACAGAAGAGAAAAATAAGAACGAAAATTAAAAGAGAGAAAAAGAATTAAGCACAATTAGGAAAATGAGTAAAAGGGAAAGAGACCAAACAATTATAAAGGAAAACCAAGAGATAAAAAGAACAAAAAGAAAGGAAGGAAAAAAGAAGCAGCAATAGTTGAGAAAGATAAGCAGGTAAAAAAAAAATGAAAGCAAAGATTAAAAGGATAGAAAGCTAGAGAGGGCAAAGAGTGGAAAAAGGGGAAGAAAGCATAAACAAATAAAAACAATGAAAGGAAAAATCCAAGGCAGGTGCCAGACTCAGAGAGAATGTCATGTTATGTGTGGGCAGTGGATGAAACAGTAACACTCTGAGACCAAGATGCAGTCCCTTTAGGGCTAGGTGTTGTCTGTTCTGGGTACCCAATCAGGTAGCAGTTTGTGCAGTCCCCAAAGCAGCTGGGGGAACATGGTATTCTCTCTCAGAGGGCAGCCAAGGGTAAAAGACCCTGCTAGTCCTGGGCTGCCAGAACCAGTTCTGCAGGTCTAGAGCAGGCCACACCTGATCCCAGGTGCCGGGGTTGATAGTGCTAGCTAGCTCCCAACCTACTTTGATGCAGTTTTGACTGCACAGAGAGCAGGACCTTTGCTGGGAGTGGAAGCTGGTTACACTTCTAGTAACCAGGGTAATGTAGGGAACAACAAAAAATGTCACACCTTTCTCTCTGCCAATAAGTGGTATTCCTCTGCACCCTCTCCTCACAAAACTCCAGCTGGCACACATCGGCTGCCTCCTTTTTTTTTTTTTTTTTTAAACTATCCCCCATGATTCTGTTCAGCTGCTTTTCCTAGTTAAGGCTAGTCCAGACTAGCAAACACGAACTCTGCAGATTTGGAGCAGGGTGCACCTGAAGCCAGATGCCACGTTTGGTGTGGACAGCTACCCACTCCCTTTACTGGGGCTCACACTGCAGCACTCACCTCCATGAGGCTCTGACCACCAGGAGCTGGAGAGTTTTACTAGGGTTTGTGTGGATGGGGGTTGGCCATTGCCTCTGGTAAGCAAAGGAGTATGGGAAACAAGACATAAATTACACCTGTACATCTGCAAGTCACCAATACCTTCATGCTGTTGTGCTTCATGCTTCAACAATACCAATATGCTGTTGTGCCTCGGAAGTCACTCACAAAAGTTTAAGATGGCTGTGCTAAGTCTGGTCAGCTGGTACAGATAAGAATTCTGTCTCTGTTTTTATCATGTCTGTTCAGCTTTCTCTCCTGGTAAGTAGTCAATTCACTTCGGTATCCTGTCATCTGAAACTCAGGTTTCCAGGATATCATCTGCATCTGTTTGTTTGGTTTTCTTTATTTTCACCGTACGGTTCAGTAGAGCACTACTACCTAGTTCACCATCTTGCAGCCTTCTAACACATATTTCTTAATGATAGGCGTTTCATTAACAAAAAACATTTTTTAGAGGAAAATTTGCCAACAGATTTCAAATACTGTTAGCTTTTTTCTTTTTCCTTCTACATCAAAAATTTATTTTTAGAAAGTTATCCCAATAAAAGATTTTTGTCCTAATAAAAGTATGCAAGATTTATATTCAAGGATTTCTATAGCATCATCATATATAATATAAAATTTGAAACAAGCAAGATATTCTATAGTAGAAAAATTCATATACATATAGAGTAAAATTATTTTAAGAGGAATTTTAAAGTAAAAAAAAAAAAAAGTTTATATTATATTATTAAATGAAAAGGCATGTCCAAAAACATTAAGCACAGAATGATTCCAATTTTGTTTAACAAAGTCTATGTATGTGAAAATTTTTATCTTAATGACAGGATTGTGTGTAAGTTTTATTTTTATTTGTTTTTTTGTACTTTCTAAGTTTCCCGCAATATATATTATTATATTTTTAATCAGAAAGTAGAATTATGTATAGATAGATATATTGGATTGTGATACACTATTGGCAGTGTACATATATATGCATATATATATAAAATTTCATAATTACATGAAACTAAAACTTTTACTACCAATAACATAAAAGCTTAAATTTTACTATCAACAGCATACTAGAATATATTCTTTCCAAATCATATGAAAATAAAAATCACTTTAAATTATGGATTTGAAATCAACGTTATTTGTAAATCTAAAGGCTATAACTTTATACAGTAAAGAAGTTTTTTTGTCTTTTTTTCTTCTAAATTCTATTCATTTTGTTGAGAATATATAAAACATATGCCAACACTTTCTACATGTAAAGTTTAGTGACCCTGATTCCATTCTTCCAGTGTGTGACCATTGTCACCTTTCTCTTCTGAGTTGTTCCTCACTCAGTAACATAAACTGTCTATTGAGGTTCCTATCTCACATTTTGAGTTATTGTTGTCAATTTGGTATCACATAGTTTTTAGTACCTTTCTACTATAACAGTTTTGATTTGAGGGAAAACAGCTGAATTTCAAATGTCAAAAGCCCTGCATTCTCCCCCTCAATCTCTCCTCCTATACCAGTTTCTCATAAAGCCTTGGGATATCAAATGAAATAAAGTGGTACTTACTTATTACGGAAATCTAATTTCCTCTCCCTCCTCCATCAACTCAATCCAACTAAATACATACATAAGCACACATACAGATGTATTTCTTTTTTACTGGCATGATCCAGTCACCTGAAGCATTACTTAAAGAGGTCATAAATTTAAAAAAACTCAAACTACCATATATTAACACTTTCTAAGTTGGCAGAAGCAAATACATTCCACATTTGTAACTCTGTAAATGACATCATAAATGATGTAAAAGAATAAGTAGAAAGATACTACTTGCTGTAGATACTAGCAAAAAGATCACTGTCCTCAAATTTAAAAGTCCATTGTGTTTATGAAAGAGAAAGTAAAGTTCCTATAAATTTAGTGTCATCTTTGTGATTAAAAAAATTACCAGTACAGAGATATCTCATAACTTTTAAAATAATAAAATGAGATATTCCATAGTGTCTTCAAGTTAAAGTGCTTTTTTCTCCTCCAATGCTTTTAAATTATCAGAACAAGAATACTTTGGTTTTTAGTATAACATTTTTCTCATCTGAAATTCAGTGTTAGGATTTTGAGAACCTGAATATTTTCTTAATATTGATAGGTTTCAAGTAAAATAATTCATCAGTAATACTGGCAATATTAAGCTATATATATGTGTGTAAAGAAAAACAATCAATTTAAATATATGACTACTTTTAAATGAACAGAGACAGGGATGAGAACTGAATACCATAATCAGTTTTTGTTAAATGTGTTTTCCTTAAATGTGAAGGCTGAAATTGGCAAAGCTTTTCTAATTTAGACATCGATTTGTAACTGTCATTAAATCCTGCTAAAATTAAGCATCCTGTAATGTGCAATTCACTGATGTACTCAACATCTATGAAATATTTCTCCATGTATTTCATTTTGTCTATTGATACAACAATCTCTAGTATTACTATATTTCAGAGTATCATTCTTACTCCATATTCCCTTGAGTGGAAAAGCATGGATGAATATAAACTGTGTGCTTCTATCTTAAATTCCATCTTTTTATAGTACACTATTTTTATTTCTTTTCAATACTGAACTGAAACCATGACCTTGAATTTTGGAGTAATATCAATGATATTTTAAAAATTAGCTTAGGTGTCTTCAAAAATCTTACTCACTAAATCCCAGAAAACCTAACGCTAGTACAGAATGTATCATGCTGAATAATCACAATAAAATTTCATATAATTAAAATTACTAAAAAAGAGAAAGGTGGTGGTTACAAGCACAATTATGTTCTAGGAAGAAGGTGGTTTACTAAAAAATGAAAGGCTAGCATCCTATGTTCAAACACTATTTGATATTTAAAAATGGTAAATTAATTTAGGGATTACATACTGAAAGTTGTCCAGATAAGAACTGTGGAACATCCCTCAACATGCCAGGACTCATGGGAGATGTAACGGAAATTGAAGGACGATCCATTTTTTGAGATTCAAATGAGCTAGAACCTGAAATGATAATTGTGCATAAAGAATAACAACAGTGGCTCTTTATTAGTATTTAGTAATCTGCCTATTAAAAACTTTTTTACAAATTGAGAAAATGCATTTTATAGACCATGTCTTAACTACAATGTTTCAAATATGTAACCATCCTTTTAAGTACAAAGCTATGCCATGACAAAAGAACTTCTTCCACCTTTTGGGTATAGATTTTAAAGAAATATATGCTTGTAATTGTAAACATAAAAGTTAAAAACATCTATATTCATAGTACATTTTCAAGGACTGTGTATATAGAGAATTCAACCACTTCTCACTGCAGCCATTGCTCCTTCCTGGGTCCAAGTCACCATCTTCTCCTCACTACATTATTAAGGCACTGATCTCCCTGCTTTCACCTTCAACCCTATTCAGTCTATTGCAGGTAGCTGTTATTGTTAAGCACTGTTAACTCTGCTCTGAAGCATAGCGACCCTGTATAAGGTTTCTGAGGAGCAGCTGGTGCGTTTGAATCACTGACCTTCTGGTTCAAACTGACCTTGTGGTCCAGTGTTTTAACGTACAGTGCTACACCAGGACTCCATTGCAAAGGTGTGAACAAGAGAGAGATAGCAAAGGAGGACTGAGGACTAATGGGTAGCCAAATTGTAAAGGCTTTAGAAGCTACTGTAAGGACTTTGGCTTTTACTGTAAGAGAAATTGGGAGCTATATGAGATGGTTTTGAGGACTACTATTCTAGGTATGTTGTTCTTGTTAAGTGCCGTCAAGTGGGTTTCAACTCATAATAACCCTGGGTAGGGTTTCTGAGGAGCGGCTGGTGAGTTTGAACCACTGACCTTGCAATTCAAACCGACCCTGCAGTCCACTACATAGTCCTCAAAACCATCTCACATAGCTGAACTAAAATGAAAGTTGTCATCTTTACGAGATTATATACATAATAACAAGATTATTATATCTCTTACTCTTTACTAATGCATTAAAAACTTCATTTGATGTCTGATGAATAAAATTATTCACAATTTACTTTGCCAGCAGTGTAAAAGAAACTTACTGGATTCCAGTTGTGCATGGGTGCTATCAGGTATTCTAGGTATATCTCTGAAACAATAAAAAAAGGAAACAAGAAACTGTTTCAACAATCAATACAACTTTCATTGGGTAGTTTTCAACCTATATTATAATAGAACAGTCTGAAAATAAAATTTAAAAAAAACTATATATAGTTGTTGTTGTTGTAATGTACCGTGGAGTAGGTTCCGACTCATAGCGACCCTGTACAGGGTTTCCGAGGCTGTAAGTCTTTACAGGAGCAGAAAGCCTCATGTTTCTCCTGTGGGACAACTGGTAGTTTCAAACTGCTGACCCTGAGGTTCGCAGCCCGATTCGTAACTACTACGCTACCAGAGTATTATAAATAAGAAACAAGTCTTAAGTTAGAGCTAATCAAAGAATTTGTGCTAACCTCAATTATTTAAAAATTAAAACTCAAGCATTTGCAGCACATTTAGAAATATACTCTATCGTGCCTTACTACAAAATGATCCATTCTCAAAACTGCTTGTATACAACTAAATAAGTTTTACAGATAGATTTTAATTATATTCTACTTTTTTACTTGCTCTAGTCCTAAATCAGTAACACTGAAATACAACTAGAACAAAAAGATGTAAACATGTTTTTTCTTGGGACTAGCATTTTACCTGTGTTTACACTCAAAAGATATATACATTTTTGTTTGGTTTTTGTCAAGAGACTATTAATAGTTAATAATAGTCTATTAATAATAACCTGACAACAACAACAATAATAAATAAATGATAATAATCGAAAATTATATAAAAGTCTAAAAGTTATTTTAAATATCAAACAAATATGATTTGAAGATCCTTTGATACCAGGAACTATATAACTATCAGAGGCAGATTATCCAATACCATGGTAAGCTTGGACTTTACTTGTGCGTGTTTATAAATTTGAACTTACACATTTTCCATATGGTAAAAAGCACATGCAATTAATCACTACAAATTAGTATATAAGCACAAGTAAGTCTGTGCCTACCTTGCTTACTGGGGGTACTCTGTCCCTAGAAAGGATTGTAAATTTTAAAAGTAGCTTTGATTCTGTGGGAAGGTGCTGATGGTTGGGTAAGAAACAGACCCAGCATAACTAAAAGCAGAACCTTTGATGTGGTGAAAAAAATCTGAAAATGCTTATCATATATTACTAAGTAAAACAAGTAAGCATGTGCTTACCTTGCTTATTGTAAAATCAGACACTATTGACTATACTAAACAGATAAACTGCAGTTTACCACCTTACAGAACTTTGGAGTAAGACAAAATAAAAAATGGATATAATCTAATGTTCCAGATTCAGTACTTTGAAAGGAACAATACAATGAAACTAAGCTGCCAACTTAAGTCATTTAATGAAGAAAAAAAAGAAATCAGAGTAATCATTTCCTAAATGAGTGGGAACTGGGCATCAGTATTTTACAAGCGAGAACAATTTCTGTTGCCACTACTTTAGAACACTTTTACCCAAAAGATAAATGTAATAATTCACTGGTGGGACTTTTTCTATAGTTTTAACTTACTTGTTGCTGAGGTTAAGTGCCAAGGAGTTGTTTCTGACTCATAATTACCCTTACAGAGTTTCCGAGACTGTCAATCAATATGAGAGCAGAAAGCCTCATATTTCTCTTGCGTTGAGGTTGGTGGGCTCCAACCACTGACCTTGTAGTTCGCGGTCCAATTCTTATCATACAGAGCCACCATGCTCCCTTTATTTAGTTTTTGTTGTTGTTTAGTGACTTCAAGTAGATTCAACTCATAGTGACCATGGAGTTTCTGAAGAGTGACTGGTGGATTTGAAACACTGTCTTTGCAGTTCAAACTGACATTGCAGTCCAGTGCTTATCCCACAGTGCTACTAAGTTAGCAGTATATTTATTACTTTGGCTTAGAATATAAGCTTCCATAAAGGAAGTGCTGCTGTGCTATTTATTGAGTAATTCTCATAGATTCACAAAGGATTTTACATGTACAAAGTTTTTAAAAAGTCATTAAGATAAGAAAGAAGGAAAAGATCAAAATGGATATCAGAAGAGACTCTGAAACTTGCTTTCCAGC